TTTTTTGAACTCATACGCCAAACCGTGGAAAACGCTATTGGGGTAAGAGTTGACAGCACAACTAAAATACTACATAGTTTTCAATGTTTTCCTCTTAGAAATCTATCTCAGATTTACTTAATCGGAATTTTCGTGAACTATCGGCAAAGGTCGATCGCTTTTCAGCTGAACTCAAATCCACCAATGCCTTGCTGAACAAACTTCAAACTGATATTAATAACAGTAAGCGACATTTGAAAGTTTCTGTACAATTTCGTTGTTTTTTGTTTTATCTACTCTATAGAGGTTGTCCACTATGGCGAGGAGAATTCGCGACACTTTAGGTATCTTTGCATGAAGTCGGAATATGACAAGATGTTCTACCAACACCATACGATGCTGGCATCCACGTCAGGGACTCACCCAACTGCTGCACCAAATCCACCCGCAGCGCAACCCCAGAAACATTGTAGCGGATCGAAGCCAAGTACATCGACCAATGAATGTGAAAAGGCACAAAATTCCTGTTCCTGCCGCAGCACTATAAAATCGTCGCCCTCGGAGCCCCACAAGACCTCTTCTGAAGAGCGCAGCATTGGTCAAAAGTCATCCGAGATTGGAATGCGGGAAGTGCTGGAGCACATTCAACGCTTCTGCACTCAAATGCAAATGAGTGAACTAAAATGCGACGATCAACCATTGCCCAAAAGCAACAGCTACCGCTTGGAAGAAGCCATGAAAATCAGCAAGCCCGTCTTCGATGAGGATGACGATGAATTTCAAATGAGCTCAGATGGCATGACGCCGCGCAGCGACGAACACTTGCACCACAGCAAGTATGGCGGTACGACAATGCGTAGTGGCAGTACAGCACGTGGCGGCAACGGAGGCGGAGACGCCTAAGGCGAAGGTATACATATCTACATATTAAAACATTAAAAGGAAGAGCTAAATAGAAGATCGAAGCAATCAAAAAACAAATTATAATAAATTTTATGTGAATATTGAACACTGTGAGAGAGTGCCTCACTGAAAAGTAAATATGTATTATAAACATTTTAAGTCTTGCTCCAAATTGTGCTCATTATCGGTTATTTTTTTCTTGAAGAATTGGAAATTTTTAACCAAAATGTATTTTGTATTTGCTTTCTTGGTTTTATTCTTTTATGGAATAAACTAAAGCTGATTTTTTGCACTTCTAGTAAAATTTCTGAAATTATTTTTGGTCTTTAGGGATAAACGATTTTGAGTAAATATTTGTTTGTCTCTGGGGGTTTCAATATATACTTATATATACTTATAAACTGGGACGCGACACATTAGCAAGTTTTTTTTATGAAAATTAGTTGTTCACTTAACAAATACCCGGGTACAATATGAAATCTTTCGGTGAATACTGCGCATGCGCTCAAAAATGAGCACGAACACCCACGGAGAAAAGATCAAGTGAGGCCCCGAACGACCGAAACTGATTAAGCACGGATTGTCTGCAATCGTATTAAAAATATTTACTTTGTCGAAAAAATTAAGCATAGAAATTAGTTCCATTATAAATTTCATGTTCGGAAAACTAGAGATATATGTATACTTATCATTTGCGCAAATATCGCTCGCTTAATCATATGAGACATTCTTTTTTCATATCGGACACCAAATTTGGTGTCACACTTTCGATTAGCTTCAAATTTTTGTATGGGTTCTATCATATATGTAATACTCCTATATTGGCAGTAAGAGCTAGTACCGTCCGAAGACACTACAGTACAGATATATCAATAAACACGTACGAAAGAAAAGGAACACATACGTTTATAAATAAACATGTACACAACACATATACAAAAACGGCACTCAAGTACGCAATACATTGACAAAAACGGTACTAGACTGTCTCGCTTTGATTTCGGAATGCTTACACATTGAGAAGCTAGCTTACTGCCTATATAGAAGTATTACATATATGGGTTCTATACATGAAATAAGCTGTGTTCGAGGTTTTTTTTTCTTTTTTTTCTTCGGAGTTATGATCTGTTAAAGTTTGCATTTTTTCGTGATTCTGATTATTCGTGTACTTTTCAAATCGTTATATCTCGCGTTCTGCTGATCATACAAACTTCATCTTAACGTAATTTTAACCCTTTCCCTGCACAATATATTGTACATTTAATTTTTTGTAACATTGGAAGCGTGCTACTAAAAATCTAATGGCCTTATTCATAAAAAATAAAGTAGGTTTAAAGAGCTTTATAAAATGACGTTTTCATATATTTTTCAGTTTATAAACCTTTTTTAAAGCTACTTTATTTTTTATGAATAAGGCCGTAAATCTAAAAATATTTTTGAAAACAAATTAAATTTTACGAAGTTTTGGAATGTTCCGAATCGTTTACGTAAATTTCAAAATCAAAAACGTTTCAAAAATATTTTTAGAATTTAATTCAAAAATATACCCAAGGCGTATTTAACAAGGTGGTGTTGGCCGTATATAAGTAAAAAATTACACTAACAAATTATACGCTGATGGCCATACTGTCATTGGTATGAGTTACAACAAACACATCATTTTGACGTAATGGCCTCCACGGCGAAAAATTCAGCTGTCGCCCCAACACCACCTTGTTTAATACACCTTGAATATACCATTTTACAAAATTCCAGTGACACGCAAGTTGTGGTAATTTACCGTACAAAAAATACGTGAAATATAAAAAGCATTTCATCATATCTGTGTTCGTATGGAACAGTAGCTTATGTCGAAAGGCTGGCTTTAGTATAATGCGGCATTCCCTTTGTTCTTTAAACGACAACGAATTTTTTGATGAGACTTAATAATAATATTGATTTGCTAGTATCGGAACTATTTCTTGCGCGTTTATTAGCCAAAAGTTCTTCAACGGCTCAGCGCCAATAAGTCATTCGCAATCGTATGCTGCGGATGCCAATTTATACTAAAGCCAGCCTTTCGATATAAGCTTTTCCATACGAACACAGATATAAAAATGCTAAAATTAAACTATCATGAATTAAAATATTTTTCCCGAGTGCTCAAAAACAATTTACCAATATATTGAACATTTACACGGAAAGGTTGTAAGTGTTTTGTACAATACATATATTGTACAAACGTCCGCAAAGGTTGCAGTTGAACAGGCAATTAGGGTGGTTTTTGAAAAGCCTGTGCGCTGTTGTTGCAGCAAAGGGTAGGCTTTTGATTTCTTGATCTACTGAAGGCAGAAAAACCGGGAAGGTTTATTAAAACGGGTCATTTGTATTTTATATTGTAATTTTATCTGAAATTTTTCAAAATTTCTTTATATAATTCTCTTCTCATGGAAAAAATTTAAAATTTTTTAATTCAAATCTTAACCAAAGATACTTAAAAAGGTATAAAATATTCATTCCAACATATCTGCATAAAAATCAATTAGTTTGTGCATAAATAATTTCATTAATAATTTAATAATGAAATAAAAGTTTTATTCCGTCAAGCTTAGTGAAATAATTATTGATTTTTCTTGAGTGCTTTTACTCCTTTGCGGACTTTTGTACAATATATTGCAAAAATTTTAGGTAGCTTTAATAGCTACCCAAAAAAACGTTTGAATATTTTTTTTTTTTACATTTGGTATTATGAGGCTCTATGAACCTTGCAATTAAGAGGACAAATTTTTATATTTATCAGGGACGGATTTGACCGGAAAGGATTAGAAATCCATTCATACATACATATTTATCTGTAATTGAAATTTTATTTTTTTCTATTTTGAAAATAGTGCCTTCAAATTAGTGTAAAAATTGTCAGTCTATGCAGCATCTATTTTTCAATAGGGAATATAATCTTGATCATCACTTTGCGTAGGATTTAAAAATTTGTGATGAAATTATATGCGTCTGGAATTACCACAAATGCACAAAGCCATTGTAAATTTATGATGTGTGTGTATGTTTTATATCTCTAAGTCCAAGGCGAATTCATATAAGGTGGTTTGGTTTCAACAGCTGTGCATGGTGCTTCAATGTCAAAATGTTGTATTTCACTAGTGAGTGAGTGCAACTTTCTTTTCCTCTGTTTCCTTCAAGGAAGAATTACTAAAATTTGACGATGGCCTATTAAAATAAAAAATGAAATACATATAAGTTAAGTCTCAATGAGCGAGGTGAATTAAAAAATTTAAGTTGCGGTGAACCAACCGTTCACTGAAGATCAAATTCAAACAACGATTTCACAACGTTATAAAAGTTTTTTATTCTGTGCTCAATGCACCACTAAATTTATGTTATAAAAGTAAACCTATCGTGTGCTCAATGCACCGCCCAAAAGTATACTGATCTTAACAATTTTCAATATTCCTACCGACTAACTTCTTCGATCAATTGCGCGTGTAGGCCGATATTGCCTACCTTGCAATTTTTTGAAATCGAGCAATAACCACGCCTACCTCCCATATAATGGTAATGTACAGAAATACAAGATTTCCAAAATAATACGCATCAAATATGTACATATGTTTTGTATAGGGTGTTATCAATCCCAATTAGCAGAATTTCGTATTAAGCATTAAACGCAAGATGGTTAAGCATGCCGTGTCTTTGTATCAAACTTTTTTTTACAAAAGTTACGCCAAGGCGAATTTATATAAGGTGGTGTTACTAGCTCAGCTGATTTTGTGTATGTGTTTCGCCGCACGGCTTCTGATATCAAATTGAAAAATTTTTGTTTGAATTTCTACACACACTCTTACAGATTTTGACAGTTTATGCGCCGAAGCAAAAACAAAATACATGTAAATTTTTGTTTTTGTACTCCTGCTATCACCTTATATTAATTCGCCTTGAGTTACGCACTTTGAGTTCTCCACCTCAGTGTATTATTTTTTTCGGGCACAATTCAATGAAACACAAATTGACATTTTCGTCAAAAATTAAAAAAAAAAACTTTTTTAGAAAAGTCTCAATATTTTTTGCCGCCCTTATTTATTTATAAGGTACCATTTCCTACCAAATCACCTCTGCAACGTGTCTGCTCAAGTGCCGTCTCAGCCGGAGAGTCGGTAAGGACTAGAACCATACGACTTGAACCCCACTATCGCCAGCACTCGATTATCTTAGCAAAATGGTACGACAACGGCCACGAAAGTCCATCGAGGAACTATATGCGTCAAAATTCGAAGCGAATTCAATGAAATCTCAAGTAAACAATAGCATACTAAAGAATTCGCGAGACCGCGGAGAATACGGAGCTTACATTATCACTTCGAACACGCCATACAATACCAACTGTCAAGCGGCGTCCGCCAACGCAGCTAATCTGAATGCAAACGGTGCCCCAATGGGAGCCAGCAGCATGACGACTGGCCGACGAAAGAGCGCTCGCCCCGGTAGCAGCAGTATGAAGCCAGACAAGTATTTCGGCAAGGAGGAGAAAGCACTGAATCTGGATGATATCAAGAAAGATCATAGCAGCGCTGCAAAAGCTAAAACCACGCGACCGGAGAAGAACAGCTATGGTGCAACATCGGCGGTGTACAATGTGCCAAACTTGTTCGACAATAAGAACTATGTGAACTTTGCCGATAGTAGTGGTCAAAAAGAACATACCAATCATCACCATCATCATCACGCAAGAAATCACGACGATGATAAGGACGATGACACTGAGGAGTTTTTTGAACTCATACGCCAAACCGTGGAAAACGCTATTGGGGTAAGAGTTGACAGCACAACTAAAATACTACATAGTTTTCAATGTTTTCCTCTTAGAAATCTATCTCAGATTTACTTAATCGGAATTTTCGTGAACTATCGGCAAAGGTCGATCGCTTTTCAGCTGAACTCAAATCCACCAATGCCTTGCTGAACAAACTTCAAACTGATATTAATAACAGTAAGCGACATTTGAAAGTTTCTGTACAATTTCGTTGTTTTTTGTTTTATCTACTCTATAGAGGTTGTC